GCATTTTGAGAAATCCAAACAAGCGTAAAAACCTCTGGAGTCCTGGTATACTATAACCCAGAACTATTAATTACTCTCGCAACGGGCGCATCCCCTGTGCGTGTGGGCACAATTTCGTCGCATACTGTTGAGGGAGAGGAATGTCTAATTAAATTTGCATCATGTTCACTAACGAAAACCGAATAGAAATACCCCCAACTAGAAAGGGAAGCACTGAGCATTGTTTATGCACTGAAGAAATTCTATCCTTACTTAATACGGGAGGAAGTTTACCCTCATTACGGATAACAAACCATTGACGACTATATTTGGTCCCCGGCAAAGGCTCCACGTGCTAGCGGTTGAGAGGATCCAAAGGTGGGCCTTCTGACAAGTTTTAATTATGACATCCGCTTCCGAAACAGCAATGCCAGTGCAAATGTTGACTGTTTATCGCGAATACCTATCGATAAAGCCCCGCAGCAAAGCGAAATTGTCATAGCTTACAACGAAGCGATAGAAACACTACCCGTGTCCCAGTCAGAAGTTAAAAAATAGACTTGTAAGGACACAACATTATTACTAAGGGCAGAAGACGCTTGTTAGACGGTTGGTCAAATTATGATAATGATATGATAAGCCCATATTATATTCGCAGAAATGAGCTAACCATAGAACAAGATTGTGTGCTACGGGGAATTCGGGTCATTTCCTCCCCCCCCCACTAAATTGCGAAATAGAGTACTGGATGACTTACACGAGGGTCATATGTGGATATTGTGCAGATGAAAGCGCTTGCGCGATCATATTTCTGGTGGCCAGGCGTAGACGCACAAATTCAGCAAATCGCTAAACGCTTGACAGTTGCCAGCGTATACAAAACAAACCATTCATAGCACCTCTGCACCCATGGCTGCCCTGTACCAAAAACCCTGGGAGAGAGTCCACATAGACTTTGCGGGCCCATTTGAGAGTTGGATGTATCTCATAGTGGTCGATGCGTACCTGGCCTGAGGTGATGACAATGAAATCAACCATTTCAAAAAAGACGATTAATGTATTACGCACATTATTCAGTAGAAATTGGTTACCCCAAATATTAGTGTCAGACAACGGGACCCAGTTTAAGTCAGATGAATTCCAATCATTTGTTAAGAAAAATGGAATTCAACATAAGTGCACAGCCCTGGGACATCAAAGTACTAATGGCCAAGTCGAGAGGTTCGTACAGTCAATGAAGCAGGGACTAAGGGCTGCCCGAGATGATAAGGGTAATGTACAAGCACGATTAGACAGATTTCTGTTAGCATATAGAAATCCAGAACATCCATTAAATAAAGAAACACCAGCACAGTTATTCCTTAATCGTCGTCTACGGACAAGGTTAGATGTAATGAGACCAAACCTTAATAATTCGATTCGTCAAGTGTTACATAGGAATATGCAAAATCTTAAAACGTAGTTGAAAAACGCGTTCCTTTGATGTACACGATAAAGTATAATATGTACGAGATCATAGAGGAAAGGAGAAATGGGCCGCTGGTATTGTAAATGAAAAATTGTGCCCCTTGTCATTTGGTGTAGAAAACATGGTATGGAATAGACATGCCGACCAAATAAGGAGTAAATATGGAGATGCAGTAGAAAATGAGAAAGAGTTAGAGTATAGTAGGAGATGATAGCCCGACACCTGTGGTTACAAATCGCAGTACTAGTTCTAGTAATAACAGCAGTAGTGATGATAGAGTAGTAAACGTAGAATCAGAAGTTACTACTCCAATAGTACGTAGGTATGGTAGAACCCGAAAACCTCTAGAGAGATTAATTGAACAGTGTTGATCAGGGCCGGCGGAACGTTTTTCAAAGTGGGGGGGGGGGGCCACTTATAAGATGAATGGGAATATGAATCATGCAGATCTGGAAAAACCTAGGCGATGGGGGTCAACATTTTTCCCAAAAAGGAAAGGGGATCCGGGGGTCCTCCCCCGGGAAATTTTTGATTTCTAGATGGCGAGAAATGACCTTTCTCGACTTTTAAGCTAGGTTTCTAATGACTTTGTTCTTCAAAATTCAAGTTTTCCAAAGAATAGGGGGGGGTCCTCCCCCGGGAAAATTTTGATATCTAGAAGGCGGGAAATGAGTTTTCCCGACTTCCGAGGTGTCTTTTAATTACTTTTAAGTTCTTCAAAATTCAAGGTTTTCCCCTCTTGAAAACAGTCAGGTAAATTTATCCCTGTTATTACAGTAGATAGGCATTATGTGTGTATACATACATAAAAAAATTGAGTAGGCCTAATTGCATACGATTTTTTTCCATTAATCCATAAATCCCAAAAAGAAAGGGGGGTCCGGGGGTTCTCCCCCGTGAATATTTTGATTCCTAGAAGGCAGGAAATGAGTTTTCCAGATTCCTGAGGTGTCTTTTAAGTTCTTTAAAATTTAAGGTTTTCTCCTCTTGAAAACAGTCAGGTAAATTTATCCCTGTTATTGTGTTTTAATGACTTTTATGTTCTTCAAAATTCTAATTTTCTGATTGTAACATAAAAAAAAAAATCAGCTCACGGGTCCTGAAAAGGTAGGTCTAGAATTTTTTTCCGGTCACACAAAAATCTCCAGACATTATTTTTTGCAAAAAAAGTGGAGGGCCCGTGCCCCCCGGCCCCCCGGTTCCGCCGGCCATGTTTTTTTTTTATTTTTATTTTTATAACGAAATAGGCCTAATGTCATATCACTATAGTTTAACTGACTAGTTAATTCATTGGCACAATTTAGTATTACCATTAACTTGGTATCTGTATAATAACCAGACTACTGATGTTCATATCATTCTTTAATGTTTTATCCATAAGTCAAAACATAAGTTAAATATGCGCTATATAAGTCGACAATTATTATTATTATTATTATTATTATTATTATTAAATGGGTTTCAATCTAGGAAGGAGAGAGATGTTGGATTATTATATCCACTATAGATGGCGCTATCACTGTGACGCTCTAGGCGGATACCTTGAATAAAGTGGTTGTGAACCCAAAGGATGGTGTTGTCTAGTCTCGTTTATGAAGTATTTGTCCAGGACTAATTGACGTCCATGGAGACATTATGGCCTTTCCAAATACAAAAAGATCTGCACAAGATGTGTATACTGTATGTGTAATTACTTATGTAGATTCATGGCCACCAGTTACGCGAGAAAGATTGCGCGAAGGCGCAACATTTTTTTTAGGGGGCCATGTCAATATGGAGGAGCCCATTATTAGGGGACCCATGCCATTTATTGAGGGCCCATGATAGTAATTATTATTTTTGAAAAAAACAATATGGGAAAAAATACTACCTGTAATTTGTATGGGCCCCCTGGTAAGCTTGGGCCCCACGGATCTTTTCCTCCTGTCCCCTCTCGGTGGCTCTGTGTAGATTCAAACTGTTGGTGTTGAACTTAAATAAAAGATGTATGTTAGATGTAGCCTATGCGGTTGAAAATGAAATCTGATCATGATTCAATTACAGTATAAAGAAGCTTCTGTGTGTGTGTGGGGGGGGGGGTTGTCATCATATCTACAATTTGTTTATTGTTATTTTTACTAAACATATTTTGGCGCTATTATTTGAGGATAGATTGGGTTAGGTAGTCCCACATAGTTTAGTCTCAAATCAACGTACAGTAAATATGGCCAGATAGCAGTTATAGATAAATTTAGAGAAGTACTAACAATACACTACATGAAATGCACTACCTGTAGTTAATGCCTTTTTGTTTTTATTGTAATTCTGTTTACACAACGTTTAGGTCACCCACCGCGCGCTGAATGGTATAAAAATTTTACAACACTTTAGATTTATAAATTAATATAATTGGTTCTTGTGATTGTGTAGATTTCTGAAATGTCAAGTTAGAAACATCGAATCTTATATAGTGATTATTTTAATTCCCAATTGGCCTTAATGATAAAAATTAGCCAAAATATCATTGACAGATTAGATAGCCTCCTGACTAGGCCGGTGACGGTATCACTACTGTAGGCCTCCGTAGGCTACGCCTCCCTAGGCCTATTTGTATTCTAACCTAGAGTGAGAGGCCAGATTGTGGACTTCAGGAACGGAAAGGCGTGAAATCCTTGTTAAACCAGGTTGCCTAAGATAATTAATATAAATGTAGTTTCCTAATTTTTAAGTCGAAAACTTCCTATGGCCTTACCCCGTTTTACTAGAACAAGAAGAATCGATGAGATTTTATGCTGCAATCTCGATGTGAAACCATGGAGATGGATAAGACTTCCGTATCAATCGCCAGCATTTTCCTTCAACTTTAGTGTCATATATTTTAATTATATGAATGTATACTTGCAAATAGTAATTTAGACCTCTTTTTTAAGACACTTTCTGATACATTTCTATGACTTGGCAGAAACGTAAAACAGATATTGTCGGGAATGCCTAACAATTACTCTGAGCTCGCGACCGCAGAGCCAGTCATGTTTTCTTTTACAAAATGATGTTGTTTGTGGGACCTTAGCAACAATATCCAAGGGGCGGGGCTTAGCGGAAAAGTCTTGCCTTGGGTCAGAGATGGGCATAAAAGTTGGTCGGAGTGCCAAAGTGAATTTTTGATTTAACACCGAGGGCCGCAACCAAACTTTGATGTTTCCAATGAGCTTCCAAAAACCTCTAAGCATTGCTTTTACATCACATCACTTTATTCTCAGTTTCAATTTTACTTTTTACATATGATTGGTGTCGGATCGTAAAAAAAAAGTGTTTTCTAGACAATTTTGATTGGCGGGCAGCAAACATAGGGATTTTAATTCATTGTCGCGGGCCGCAAAAAATCGCTGACGGGCCGCACTGTACCCACCTGTGCCTTGGGTGGTGGTAGACTGAATGGACCTATTGCACGCGCCTCGTTTCGTTTGTTTTGGCATGACCTTGACTGACAAACGTCTCTGCGCAGTGTGTGCCCGGCTTAAAAGGACCGAGTATATACATCTGTCTGTGTTAAAGTTATTGGTGGTAAATTTACCTTTGGGTGGTCTGCCTACAATTTCTTCAACCCCCGGATGTACTCCCCCATGCTCCAACCCAAACGATGGTGAGAAGTCAACTGAACTTGTACCAATTACCGATACAGAATACATAACGATGGAGCGCACGCGCACTCGCCACTTTCCTGTTGTAGGATTTACTAGTTTAGTTACTTGTATGTTGGAAAGCAGTAACACAGCATCGAAAATGTTACCGGTAGACTTAACAAGATCTCCTGTAAAATAGAAAGTAGAGTAAGGCAATTATCACATGGTACAATCATGTAAAACATTATGTTTCTCTTACCACAAAAGTCACATTTTTATAACCAACTCATGGACACATAGTGGATAAAGCAACGCTTTTAATTATCTACTTTCACTCTGGATAATATCACATACATCAATTAATTATTTAAAAGATGATATAACTTATTCTTATTATGCAACAAATGGGAATAGTTATGGGTTAATTTCAATTAATCGAATCAATGTCGCATATCATACATTATTAAATGTCATCGAAAGAGCTTAGTATTTTTCTGTTACATACAAATATGGATAGTTTCTCGTCTCTATTTCACAGTAACAAGTCATCATAACATTAATTTTTTTTTCAATGAGGAAAACACTTTTGTATAAAGGTGGTACACCTGTCATATATTATCTTTTAGTTCACTATTGTTGTTATAATAATTTGTTTATACATTATTGCACTTACCAGATGGATTGAATATCTTAACATTGATAACTGTGCCTTTGACAGTGATAACAAGCTCGTCAATAGTGGAATCAACAATAAAATAGTGACTGCGACCATCCAGCACATCCGTAAAACCCTGTTGACCCGCGTATATCAACGTCACCTGTGGAAAACATATTAATGATCTTAAATTTAACTAATTTCAAATTATTATAATATACCCGGGACCTTTCGAAGGGCTACAGGTTCGAGT